AAATTTGATTAATATGTAATTTAAGATGCTTCGAGATATAAACTGTGTAATCTTATTAATTAATTATGATAATAGATAGCGTAGTTGCATATATCGTCAGCAGTATTTCCGATTCGCGTGTTTTTCAAACTCAAAATGATGCTCTGAAGTGTAACAACATAATGAAAGTTACTTGAAGATACTCTTTATGATCTATGATAGTGCAAGTGTTGCGTGCAAAGTATTGCGAATCTTTAAAGGATCAAAAAAATGCAATCCTCCGTAATTTTATACAATTACAACGCAAACGACTTTTATAATATAATTATACAAACAAATTTAATTTTAGTTATAAATTAAAATTATATTAGCTATTTTTCTGTTCAGCACGAGCACGTTAAAAAAACTATCTGCTGCCTCTCATCTATCATAGAATATAACGTGTGTAGGATACGGGCATCGAGTTGCCTGTTGTTGCACGCCAAGAAATTACGGAGTTAATAACAACCCAACGCAGAAAAAACATCTCCGCGCTTTCTCAAAAACTCGTTCACTTCCACGAAACGTTTTTAATCTTCGCGGCCGCTCGTAAATTCGCTCGGGGTCTTCCGCCAAAAGATAATCATGAATAACTTGGTTCGCGCGCGACGCGCGATAAACAGATTAATATTAATAAAATAGCGGGACGACGCAAAATGACAGGGCGACGTTGCTTTTTCATGTGATCACTCGAAAAACGAGACAAGCTATCTTTGCAATCGCAGTTCTATATATTAAATGTTTAGTGTGAAAAAGGCTTCTACAAGAATGAAAATTTTAATTTTTCCCGACTTCTGAACATATATTATATTTGTGCGTTATGCGATGATAATTTTCGAAATATATGTACAGGATTTTAATGTAGTCGAATATTAATGAAAATGTGGTTGTGAGAAAATATTTCATAAGTTGTCATTTGAACTGTCAATTTTAAAAGTAATTTTTAAAGATCATTTAAAGATCAATTTTTTTTACGTAAATCGATTCCTTCTCATATTTGGCATAAAAGCTGTAAGGATACAATGTGAAAATAATGAATAATTTATTTTGAGATATTTTATACATTACTTTAATGTGACATAATTTCATATAAACTTATATTTCGTGTAAAATATTCATTTTTTGATTACCTTATGCCAATACTTTTATGTACAAAATAATGAGAGCAATCAATTGAAGTGTAAAGAGAACACTGTTTTTAAAAAGATATATAATTGCTGGTTAAGTTGGGTTTTTAATTACATACTTAAAAAAACTATATACACGCGCGTTTTCTTTAAGTAATTAATTTCCTGCGTTATTTTGCAGATAAAAATATTGAGATAAAATAATCGAAATATTCGAATATTATATATTATTATAAATATTATGAATATGTATATACACACGTGCGTATATATTATAAACTAAACTCTTCTTTTGAATTCCGGGTCGCGCTTGTCGCGGTGCTCGTAAATCATTCCGTAATCGATGAATTACAATTAATAAGTAAAGGAGGAATCGATTCGCCGCTTTGGAGCGAAACTGATTACCACCGGCACGGCGCGAGTTTGGAAACATTAATTTCGATACGCCTCTGCTGTCTCCTTTTCTCTCTCTTTCTCGCCGCCGTTGCCGTTATACATATTTTACGCGGTCATTTATGACGTGCGACATAAGTTATATCGTAGAGGAGTGTAACAGAGCGTTGGAAAAAGGACAAAATCGACGCGGTAAGTGGTTAAAAAGCCGGCGTTGCTTGCGTGCTCGTGATGGGTACATAATTTGGGGTGTTTTAGTGCGTCTGAGATAGCCCCGGATATGACAATAATGGACGATAATGAATTGTCGACGATAAATAATCGTACAACGAGGAACTCATTATTTATAATAATAATACCTAGTTCTTTGTGCGTCTCCAAAGAGTTTAATAATAAAGTATGTATATCAAAGATATATCAAAGAAGTGATGAATAATTATATGCAATAAATATTGCAACGCAAATAGTGCAATTTGTCAGTGCACTTTAGGTCTTGATACTTGCCGAAATTAATAACAAGATTTTAATACATATTTTAAAAGTATAATATGATATGATGATATTAATAATATTACAGAAAAAAAGAGAAATGAGAGAAGTGAGATCTATCGAGAATCGTGAAAGCTATAAATCAGAATTAATAACATATGGTCTCTACTCGTGTGAAGGAAAGCCTATTGAAAGTGGCAAGCGTATCCGCTACTGTTTCAATAAATAATCACACAAGATAGTCTTTCGACACTTTTAAAAAGTCAAGATTCCGTAATCCTCTGATTAATCGTAATCAGATTTAATCCTTCGAATTTTACAGCCTGTAATAAAATCAACCGCCGAACGAAAGCTGATTATATAAACTTGAAATCATCGCGTTATACTTTTATATTATTATTATTTTTTATAACATAACTATTGTATCATAATATAACTGTATTTATAATTTAGTTATGAATATTTGCGCCGGGGTACTATTATCCTTAATTACACGACCGAATTGTTGAGCATAAGGTATACGTCAATATATAATCAAAATGGATTACTTTAATTAACAATTTCATTTGAACGGTTTAACGCGAATCGCAAATCATTCGGCTCGCGCTTCTTTCTGACACATCTTGCGCATCGAGTGCTTTAATGCGTACATATATAGCGGCCGATTTAGAAACGTAGGTACCGGACAGACGGAGCTCGCTCGAACAGCTGGAGCAATCATTTCCGATGACGCGGTTCGATTGAGAACGGTATGCAATGCGCGCCGAGAAATCCGCTCGACCGCCAGATAAAGGGGTAGAAACTTGCGGTACGCGATGCCAATTTTTTTTCTCATCGCGTTTGTGCTCCTCGCGCGCAAACTATTTGTGTATATCGCACTGGAAATAAATATTGTTGCATTAACAAAAATTCTGTTCGAAAATGATTACCGGTAGATTGAACCAGTATAATTCTGTTTCGTTCACCATTTCCGAACACAATTTTTGTTAATGCAACGAGATTTATTTTTCAGCGGGAGAAAGACCGACATATATTAACCCTGAAGCGCGGATTTTGATTAATAAAATTTTTAAGTTGAAAATTTTATGCCCATAATTCGTCTTTCAAAAATGAATGACAGATGTCATCCATGTGTTAAATCATGCAATCGATTTAAATGGTTTTTCCTAGATCGATGATATTTAACGATAGGATTAAGGGTCGGTTTTTCAATAAATCGGTTTAAATTTTCAAGAAATATTTCAGGTAAGAATTTATATATTATTTGATACGATCGCATTTCCGAACACAATTTTTGTTAATGCAACGAGATTTATTTTTTAGCGGGAGAAAGACCGACATATATTAACCCTGAAACGCGGATTTTGATTAATAAAATTTTTAAGTTGAAAATTTTATGCCCATAATTCGTCTTTCAAAAATGAATGACAGATGTCATCCATGTGTTAAATCATGCAATCGATTTAAATGGTTTTTCCTAGATCGATGATATTTAACGATAGGATTAAGGGTCGGTTTTTCAATAAATCGGTTTAAATTTTCAAGAAATATTTCAGGTAAGAACTTATATATTATTTGATACGAGGAAAGTGTATATTAACAAATATACGATCATCTTTTCCCTCTTCATTTGCGATCAAAGATGACATAAAACCGTGCGAATATTATAGTTCGGTACACAATTAGTATCCATTTTCGCGAAAAGATATATCAACAAGTACTTACTCGACTACGGTGGACGATGAGACGATATCCTGGAGCGTAATTCATTCATCCTCTGAGGGAAAAGGCATTATCGCCGCGTCGGCGATTTCATTACCGGAATAAATCGGCGGTCTCGTGAATTTATCGGCAAAAAGATCGAGAGAATGTAGGTTTCCCTTGTAAATTATAAGGGAGTCCTACACCCGGCAATTCATCACAGCTACCCCGGCAGTACACGCACGCGATGGTACCCTGCTGTGTACATACGCATACACATACATACACGTTTTGGCCTCTCTCACCCCCATCCTTCGTCGTACAATTACGTTCCTTCGCGCAGTTTCGAACGACGCAAAAAGGCGGTTCCCCTCGTAAGTGCGGTATTCACTTAGGCCAATTCCCACAAAAATCGTTCGAGTGAGAGAGCCCGTTAAACGAGAGAAAAATCGATCGACGAGGAGCAAAGTACAGAGGAAGGAGGAATTATCCAAATTCGTCCGGCCCGGTTTCAACGATTTTATCGCATGACGTTCGCGTACCACGGTATGCACGCATGTAGGGATAAACATTAATGCAGCCCGAAATTGCATTGGTCGAGCTGGACGCGTCATTTTTACGTAGCCTCACCTCTGCCTACGGCGGCCAATCGCGACCGACAGCTTAAAAACGGTACTCCGGAGTGGAGATATTGTCGGTGAACCTGGAAGGAGACGAGGGAAAGAGACGACACACTTCCGGGGAGGTTACACCTGGCTATACTGGCCGTGTATGGCGACCACCTAACGCGAACGATATTTCGATTACCGGTCAGCTTGCGCGAAAATTAATGACGGTGCAATAAATAATATTGCGGTTTTATTATTATTATTATTATTAATATCACGCCGGAGAGAAAAAGGGGGCACTATATCGGATATCGCGTAATCATACAGTTCTCCCGCTTTTTATGGCATGGGATAATTATATATTCGACAGCGCGCGAAGGAATTGAACGGACTATTGAATCCCGCGATTACGATAAAGTATTTCATTTTACCTCTATGTGCGAAGAAATAATAATAATTAGCTGCATTGCATGCTGCAGCCCGAATTTCATTCACGAGGATCAGCTGGATAAATCAGCTTTCGCTGCTTGATTTAGACCGCAGCTGGCAAGAGGAAGGAAAGGAACATGTTTGCCGCAATAATTTGACACTTCGTGGGAAATAGATTCATCGATAAATGGAGTCTTCGTAAGAATCGTATAGGATTCGAGTCTTTTGTGCTTACCGTGGATATCGTTGACGCATATGTGAAGATCCTCCCGAAATATCGGCAGGTCAAAGTTACACTGGCACGTGCAGGAACTGTTCGGCACAAGCAGGCTCGAACTCGAGGAACTACGGGAATAAGGACTGGCGGTGCCGCTGCTGAGCACTGTGCAGGCTTCTGTACAGGAACCTGTAATCAATTTTTTTAATTTATCGAGTCATGTATCTTACACGATTATATATATTTTACATGAATTTTTTATTTAAAATTCAGCGTCCGAGCTTTTAATCTACTCTCTTAAATTGAATGTGTCATCGATTAAAGATACAGATTTCATCGAAGATCAGTTTCTTTTTTTTTTTTTTTTTTTTTTTAGTGATTTTCAAGCAAAAACACTCACATTTTGTTTCTTCAAAAAATCAGTAATATAATATTTGCAAGATATATTATGGTTTTCTCTAAAGCTTTTCCTATTTATTTTGAATTGATATTTTTTGAGAGAAGCTCTTACATCTATAAAACAATAGAGATATATTTCTCCAAGTGTGTGTAAATACATAAAATTATTTAAATATATCAAATTATATTTTAAAACGTTTCAAAATGTACGATTATCAGTCTACAATATTTTATCATTCATTGATTGGATTTGAAAATTGTATTCTTTAAATTTAATTTCACGCAACTGTATTTTTTTTTTTTTTTTTTCATTTTTCTGCTTCCAATTATCACATTGTTTACGTCACACATTGAGATAAATTAATTTAATTAGCCAGTCTCTTCAGAGAATCAATAAGTTGCTCGTGCGCCGAATACATGATTTGCGTGGATCTCCTGATAATGTGAGATTGTCGAAAAAGGTGATGTACGAAGGAGCCATCACGTGTTCCGTCAGGACATGCTGTATAATCCAACCGAGCAAGGACAGGTCGGACAGCTGTCAAACCGTTACATCGTAATTTCGCGGTTAATCCGTTATGAGCGTCTTTTTATTTCACGTAACACGCGGTTGTGTCCCCACAATTTGTGGCACAAAATTGTCGCTGAAATCGCACGCTCTCGAATGACACTTCGCTTCCGCGTACCGGAAAATCACGCGAGGACCAGCGATACACGACACGTCGTAATGTCATCATTTCTACATCGCGAGAAATCCAGTAGATAAATTGAGGCGGCGACTGTGCGAAAGAAGACACGAACAAAAAAAGATATTTTTCTCTCTTTTTACATTCGCCACTATTATCGCATTCCCAATAGGATTTGTTCAGTCATCGTTTCGGATTGCCGCGATTTGTCAAATGTTTGTTCTCTCTTGCAGATCAAAATCACGATGACGGTTAATTTTAATTACAGCTATAATAGAATATATATCTATATTTTACCTTCGATGGTAAAAATATCGCCATCGGAGTGTCTGATGACGGACAATTCCTGGCTGTGAACAATTTGCAGGAGGTTGAGACAGCTCGCGAGAACGAGAGCTAGAGAACGCATCTTCTCCACAGCATTCTGCAAACATGAATAAATTAATATAGATCGTAAATAGAATAGACTAGAGTGAGTTTTACCATATGAGCGCCAAACAAGCGCGTCATGGAAAATCCCGAGAATATTAATGATCGTAAAATTTATTTATTTCCGTGACGCTTCATCGCTTGACTATAAACATGTATTTGTCAACAAAATTTCACATACACATCAAGAACGAAAAAACTGTATATTATACTATAAAATCTCTCTTAAGTAACAAATATTCTTAAGTGTTTGTAGAATCTTTTAAATGCATATATTTTTATTTATAATAAACGATTTACAGTGCAGTGCAATGTACCTATGTCACTGAATGATTTTAGTTCATTAGAATAATTGATGCATTTAATAAGTGGCTTGAAAAAGAAGACTTGAACGACTTAAGAGAAATGTTCAATAAGAAGTGTTGTGATAAATAACGTGTAATTTAATTTAATCGTTCAAGACCTAGATCTCATGCCTCATTCTCAGTCTATATGTACCATGTCTATGTATTCTTTATAGTCTTTATTCTTTGCCTGCGAGTTATAAAATAATGTACCCTTTGGTTAATATAAAAATACATCCCATTTCGTCTACATTTGTATAAATTGGGAATATCTGATACTAATCTTCAGATTTTTCTTTTAACATGAGAGAATCCTGTTGAAAAGAAAAATCCTTTTCAAAAGGATTCTCTTATGTTAAAAGAAAAATCTTAGATGCTAAAAATTTTGGCATCTAAAATAGAGTATTGTAAAAATAAGTGGAAAATTCTTAAAATAAGAATACATTTTTTTAGTGTATATAAAATCTATATATATTTTTCTTTGTGTTAATAAATTAATTCTTTATACAATAGCAATATAATGAATTTATGTTTGTTTTAGGATCGCTCGAGACATGAAGTCTAGGAATACACGCGAAAATTGAAAAGATACTAATTTAGCCATTAGAATCATTTAGTCATTAAAGTAATAATTTGATTTTCCTTAGTATACAACCGGTTAGGAAGTGTTATGATTACGGTCGTTAAGTAAAATTGCAATTAACCTCAGGGCCTCGGTACACAGAATCGAACCTTCGATGTTTTCCCGCGCTTTTTATATCTCGTAATTGATGCTACGTGTTTTGCGAGAAATTCATGAAGCACGAAATCCATCTTTTCCTCTTCCGAATCGATAGTCGATTCAGTCGTGTAATAAATTGCGAAATTATGCTACTTTTCATCGCGAGAGATTCAAAGACGATGATCGTCGAGAGTTCTGTTAATTCCTGTCAAATTACATTATAGTTGCAAAACTGATTCACAATGATATCGAGCTTGATTGTGTAATTTAATTCTTTTCTTGTGAGTGATAAATCGCCGATATATATGATTATGTCTCGTCATCTGAATAATTTCATTAATCTTCGACAACAGAAGCAACCGCAATTTCGGAAGTCTTCTACTGTGAGAAAGAGATAGATAATATATTTCTGTCGAATCTAACCGAAAAAAAAAAAAAACGAGTCATTATAAATCAAAGGTCCGTTATCGACGTGCCATCTAAGCATTTCCTTAAAAATAATGAGATATTTGGTCCCGTTTAATCTCTCGTTAAAATCTTGTACCCTTAAATGTAAATTTGTCATGCAAATCAACATTAAAAAGAGAGAAAGTAACTCTATAAAAATTCTGTTATTTATCGAATTTTATATAAAGTGTTATTTAGAATTCTATTAAAGATCCTGTGAATTTTTCACTTAATAATAGTTTACACATCGACCCGCTTGAGAAATTTAATAAGCGTTGTAAATGACTAGTTGCTCGCCTACAACGCGTGTAACCACTCTTTCGTAATAATAATCTTCTCGCTTAAGGGATCTCCAACAGCAGATGTCGGAAATTATTAATGCCATCGTGATTTTATATTAATCTAAAGTCCGAGAACTATTGAATCTCAGTCCCGCGTAGGCCGCGTAAATGCTAACGAGTGCACAGCGTAATTACAACGTGAGCTTCTCGCGAAATTATGTTAATAATGTATTAACGGTGAGACGCATCTTTCGCGTTGCACTTGTAACCGGATTGTGTACACTTTGATTAAATTTTCTCTTCTCTTCTCACCTCGCTCTTTATTCATCTTCGCTCCTCTTGAAATTACTTTGACGTTTAAATGCCTCTCAGCTGTCGGGATAAAAACGGTGAAGATAGTGTTGGGAGAAAGTGTCGCTCCAGTTTAAAAAAATTTTATTTCTTTAGACCGGATATACTTGAGCGACACTTTGATGATCGCGAAAAGATTCATTCATCAGTCATTAAAACAAGATGAGCCAATGAAAAAAATTTTAACGGAGTCCGAAATCCGCGATAAGTGCGTCTGACAAGTGAATTATGTATTTACCGTGTCTAAAAATAAAAACGGCGGACTTCGTTTATGTGAAATTCGTGGAATTCCATTACTATATAAGAAAAAAACAGTGTTTTTTATATTAGAGTTTTTTGGAAATTCATGTGAAATGAACAAACTACCAATTTCTCTCGTCTTCAAGATGATTAAACAAATATATGAGACACTTGGAAGAGAGAATTCGATGAATTTTATGTAGTCGCTGATCAAAAGTCGGCTATAAACCGCAATTGCTATAAATCTTTCTAAATCGTAAATACCAATAGGCTTCTTAAATATATTAGACATGAATGTGTCAATAGCGTTTCCAAAATTTATACGCATTAATGAGATGCTAATTTGTTATTTTGTTGCCTGCCGAAATTCTTGCCGAAATACCGTATAACACCTGCAAATCCAGATAAAATAGGAAGTGCTATCACGGCGTTCCGACTTGTCAGTTCTCAATTTAGTCATCGTCCAAAAATTTATAACTTAATTATCGTCTCGCGCACAAACGTCTTGAAAAAATTGTATTGTCGAAATAAGAGGACTGTATATACTATAAAATATCATTTAACAGATATTTTTAAGCGTTGCTGGAACATCCTCTAAAATAATACACTTTTTTGTTAATGAAAAAATAATTCCCATTTCTCGTTTATACTTTTATAAATTAGGAATATCTGATATTGATATTTATTTATCATCAGAAAATTTCCCTCTTAAGATAAAAAATCCTTTTGACGTTTATTGTAAAACAAAGTATTTTAAAAAGGTAGTGCCAAATTGAACACATTGTTTATTAATCAATCAAACACAAGAAAATTTCCGATTGATTAATCATGCTAGTCACAGATCGATATGAATAATTGTCTAATCACATTCATTTGGGTCTCTTCGTTCGATCAAAAATAAGTGGGAAATTCTAATAAAATAAGACAACGAGTTTTTCAATGCACGAGCGCTTATGAGGAACTACGTTAAACAACGGTAAGCGCGACTTGACGTTGCAGGAAGTATAAATTTCTTCTAGTATGTACCTTTTTACAGTTCTGTCCGCACCTGCACCAGATGCACACGTTCGCGATTTGTGTCCCGCACGTTGGCGTTCCGCACGTTGCGTTCCGCACACGTGTTATCTTACGCGTGCCATCAGCTCGATTGCGCATAACGTTAAGCTCCTTTTGCCCGCCGGTGTTTCTTGCTCTATTGGTCCATTGCGCGCGCGTGCAATTTATATCGATACTCGCGCGAGACGTAACGACGTCCTCTAAAGCGCGCATTATGCGCCACGAAGATTCAACGTACGATATAGATATACATATAATATACCTGCGGTCGCGGATGGTTCTTTACCGGACGGACACGTGTGAGAGCTATCCTGAATTTCTTTCACGCGAGAACACATCCCCGTTGCATGATATACCGGGACCCGCTTTTTCACTCAGCATCCCGGTGCATCATCACATCTAGTGGCATTAATCTAGACGATCCGTCCCGGAATCGCAATTTTATTGAAGTAAAAAAATAATTCGTTAAAAAAAATACATAATAATGATCCGATAATTTTGTAATTTTTTTTCCTACAAAGACGAAACATATGTCAATGTCATAGAATATTATAATTATCGTTTGTTACTTTAACTAAATAATTAACTTGATAACATTATTTAACAAAAACTCTGTGAAAATGATATGAAATGTTATCACAATTCTCGTCTAAAGTAATTTTTCTTGATGATAACGACAGATTGTTCATGCGTTTTCAAGTATTTTATTTATAGGTATAAAATAATAAAGATACGACGAACGTGTCAAAAGTATACGTTAAATTTTTTACCCAAGTGATTTCTACAATTTTACTCGGCTCGAACTGCGTCTAAAATTTAGATATGCGTTCCGCTCGATGTGCCGTGCAATTTGAACAATTTGTGTGCACGTACCTATTTTCAATCGACAAATTATAGTGATTTAGATGGTGTGAACTGCATGCAGGTACGCGTTCACATGTCATACGCGCGCGTTATTTCGTAATAGTGCCAACAGTCACGGCCAATAAACAAAATGATCGGGAAATAATGGTAATAGAAAGCATCAGTGATTACTAGACATGTGTCGATGTCGAAGAAACCAATATTTCATCGACGTGGAATTTATATACAGAAAGAGTTCGGAACAAAGAAATTCGTTATAGAGTCTACCGCGTAAGAGACTCTGGCTTATAAATCTGCGATTAAAAGACTGATTGTTATCTGAAATGAAGCTCAAATTATAAACTGATTTCCAATGGTAATTTACCATGAAGAAATCACTTTGGAAAAAAATGAAATTTCCGATGAACGTGTTATACAAGGCGTTTTGCCTCGTAAACAGTTAATTTATTCGGAAACCTAACTAGGTAACGAAATTCAATCGCATACTTTATTTTCAAAGAATGTTAAAAGTGATCGAGGCGAGTGAAGGCACTTTCCTGATTGCTACTGAGAACAAGAAATTAAGGTAGCTTCTTCTCGCACAAATAATATACTTATATTTTGTGCAGTAGAATTAATATCATACGAGATGTGACCAGGAGGATCAGTTTCAGCTTAAAACTAGCGGTTCAGTTAAGTTAAGCATC